CAATTTATTATGATAAGTATTTAGGCTGCATTCGAAAAGGCTCTATCTCTAGATACATAATTAAGAAACGACCTTTTATCTTGTGAACTATTGAAATTTTCAAAGATATAAGCGCACCCTGACATTACACTCATCGAATCCTTTCGTTGAGTACCGAAATCAATTTTTCATATAATTATATATATGTATGTATGAAAAATATATCAAAAATGCATATGGGTACTCAAATTAAAGCTCTTGATGAGTGTAACATCGGGATGAGCTTATATCTTTAAAAACATCAATATTTAAGAAAGTACAGTGCTTTTTAACGAAAATCATTATTTAATAAAGCAAAATTTTATTTATTCATGGCTCACAAGTCACGGCAGTCATATAGTGACTGCAAGATTGCTAGTTTAATAATTAATTTTGAAATCTAGTTTAATAATTAATTTTGAAATTTTTAACTTAGATTTTTTTGATTATAAAAAATTGATGTTCTTCTTCAACTGAAAAACATTTTCATAATACTAAAAAATTTTTTTATTTGACAAAATAAAAAATTTTATTAAAAAAAATTGTAAAACTAATTTTTTTAATAATATAAAAATTAATTTTTGTAAAATTTCTCTACTAAAATAAATCATTATTTTTTTAATTTCAATCAATTCAATTGAATAAAATATATTCAATTTAAGTAAAATAAATATTAGTAATTCTAAAAATTTATGATGACCCAATATTTCATTTTTTTTTAAATTAAAACAACTATTATTAAATTTTCCATGATGTAATTCAACAAGCAATTAACAAATTCAAATTCCAGGTTAATGGAATGTTCCCAGCACCATCATGCGCACTAATGCACCTGGACTCATCAGTAGTCCAAATGGACTATTCATCCCACTACTTACTAGTATCAACCTTGAGCCGTTGTTACATATGCAACACATCTCAGGAGCAGTTCAAGCAAATAGGTAACAAATCTCGTGACGGCGAGTATGGTGGCTGTTTCTTCAAATCCGAACAATCAAAACCTCATTATAATTCATCAATCATGAGCAACAGCTCAGAAGTAGACACCACTAGCGATAGAGTGCCAAAATCAATCGGTAGCATGATAGGATTGAACGAAGAATCAGACGAAAATCTGGTAATCTATTGCACACGACCTGGATGTCGTCTGTGGGAAGTAAACGTGTTTGGTACAGTAGTGAAGACTCACCAGTTCAAGGAAGCGCTTCAGCCTCCTTCAAAAATCTTCAAATCTTCTTCCATAAAATCAAATTGTGATAACACAAGCTCAAATACTCAAACTCAAACTATTAATTTTTCCAGGTTGAAAATCATTAACAAAAAGTACTTGCTCTCTTACACTGGAAATAATATATTTATAATAGACCCAATAAGCACAACAATTTTATCGACTGAATTTAACAATATATTTATGATAGATATTATTGAAGACCGAGTTTATATTATGACAACTCTAGGTACCTTTCATTCTTTATTACTCTCTACCCCAGATTATTTAATTTTAAAGCTCTACGAGTGCAAGTTACTCGAGGATTGTCTGCAATTGTGTAAATTATATCGCAGTGATTTTACAAATGGCTCTGATAATGATATTAATGTAATAACTCCAATAATTGCGTCAATTCAATCAAACTTTACACCTCAGAGATTAAATTCCGGAATTGTTGTCGTTAATTCTGGTCATGGATTTTTGAACGACGATTACAATAACTATGTGCTGGATAATGATAATGAAAAATGTTCTAGAGAACATCCAGAGCTTCCTGACAATTCAGATGAGATTATCTTCACAAATCGGCTGGAAAACATGAAAATTAGCAATGGAGACAAGAATAAAGAAAGCAGGGATGAAAATTTAGAATCTCTGTTTAAAAATGAACTTACAAGTATCCAAACTGACGTAGAGCCGATTTACGAGCTGATAAATTCATTAAAAAGCTCTTTGAATGAAGAAATAATTAAGAAAATATTGGATAGTATAGCGCGGATCAAAACAAAGTATGATATAGTTGAATTAAATCAATTTATTTATGAGATAATACGTTCAGTAGAGCGTCATTATTTTACTGTCTTGTTGGAAAGTATTGTTATGATTGATTTATTTGTAGAAAATAATTTTGTGATTGATGAAATCACCCGGGCGTTTATTGACTTTAATTCTGGTACTCGGTGCATTTGCGAGAGAGAAAGAGAGTCGTCGGGTGATACAGAGCCAAAGTTTATGGAAGTAGGGATAAATTTACTTAAATTTGATAAAAACAAAGGTATTTATTTGTGTAGCAAAGTACCCTGGATGTGGGAGGAGTATTTTCGGATTTATTATTACTTAGAACGTGATATTATTCCACTGTGCCTTCAGAGCAGAGACAATAATGGTATTGCCAATTTGTTTACACTTATTGAAGAAAAAGAGGAAGAGGAATTTTGGGAATATGCTGCTGAGAATTATAAAATCATGGAGAAGGGAATTTGTTTGATATGCAAGAAGTCTGCTGATCGGGATGATCAGAGAGAAGTAATCGATTGGAGCGAAATTACGCGGTTGATTATTAAGAAAAAAAATATTTATGCTGCAGTTAAGTTTGTTAAACACCTGGAACAATTACTACTGCATGTTAAATTAAAAGAAAGGCAAGTTTATTTTATTATTTTTATTTTTATCAATACAAGTTTAGATTTTTTTAGATGAAATGGATTTTTATAAGTTCTTTGTTTTTTGGTCGTACATTTATTAATTAGACTTTTTTTTTTTTTAGTGTTTATCAGACGATAATATTTACAAAATTATTGGATCGCCATGGACTTGAGCATACAGTTGAATTTGATAGGAATAAACTGACTAATGAATATAATTCTATATGTTCATCAGAAGTATGTAATTTTTATTAAATATTTTACTATTTTTATTAGCAAAGTACCAAATTTTAGATGAAATTTATTTTTATTTTATAAAAATTTTGGTTTAATTTAATTGAAAAATAAAAAATAATTTTTTTAAAAGTATTAAGTTAGGTAGTTCGCTAATGAAAACACCTAGAGGAAAAATTTTTAGCACAAGAATAATTTTTTTATGAACAGTATATATGAATTTATTTAATAAGTTTTTTTAACTAATAATTGACGCTTTTAATGAATTAATGATAAAATTTTAGCTTCGTGATAATCTATCTTAAATAATAAATCACGTGCCAAATGCCAAAAGGACGTATTACAGCAGTTAGATAGGGTTCCATGCCAAAAGGGCGTATAAAAAAAAATTTTTTTTGCCATTCTTTTTAGAATCGCTCGAAACGTAAAGATCTACAGAAAAAAAATTTTTGTCGTACTAGCGCCAAAAGGGCGTATCTTAAGATATATGCCCTTTTGGCTTTAGGAAATTTTTTTTTCATTTTTAGGTTTAGATTATGTTTACAAAACGATTGGCACAAAAAAAAAAAAAATTATACGCCCTTTTGGCTTTATATCACTAAATTTTCAGTGTTCTAAAGCCAAAAAAGGCTTATAACTTGAGGCATACTTCTTTTTGGCTTTGGAAATTTATTTTTCGTTATTAAACTAAGAACATGTTAACAAAACGATTGGCACCAAAATAAAAATTATACGCCCTTTTGGCATTTGGCACGCGAAATGACTTATTTATCTTTCAGGCAAAAAAAAAATACAATTTAAAATTTTAGCAATAAAATTTTAGCTTCGTGATAATTTATCTTAAATAATAAATAATTTATTTGTCTTTCAGGCAAAAAAAATACAATTTAAAATTTTAGCTTCCTGATAATTTATCTTAAATAATAAATGACTTATTTATCTTCCAGACAAAAAAAATACAATTTAAAATTTTAGCTTCGTAATAATTTATCTTAAATAATAAATAACTTTTTTGTTTTTCAGGCAAAAAAAATACTCAAAGAATCGTTGGAAAAAGATCTCGAAAAACAACTAGTTAATAAAAATTTATTTGGCAGTGGTGTTTATCACTGGGGAATTAAGTTCAAAACAAAATCATCGATATGTTCTTCCTGTACCCTGTCATTACAAACGCCAGTACTTTTAGGAAATAATGGAATATCAATATTTCCATGTGGTCATGCTTATCACGTAAATTGTCTCTTACAAAAAAAATCAACAAAATGTCTTCTTCATTAGTTTAAATAAAGTATTTTAAATAATAACAATAAATGTATATATAATACAAACTTTTAAAAGTTAATTAAAGATTTTTAGATACAATTTTTGTGCCAAAAAATAAAATAAAATACTCTCTACTTATAAAATAAAAAATGTATTTGTTAAATTTTATTAATCAATATATTTAACAAAAAATATTTATAAATCAATTTGTTTTATTTTTAAATTCCTCAGTCATTTAATTAAGTACTTAATTTTTTAATTATTCAGTAAAATAGTACACTGTGGATGACTATTGATTTTTAAGTTTCATTAAATATTAAAATATAAAAAGTACTTTTGAAATATTTAACAACAACCTTGACACAAGGCAAGATAAAAAATTGACAGAATTTTAAATATTAATTATTTAAATTTAAACATCTACAATTTACACAATAATAAATAACAGTTTAAAAAATATCAGACAAATTTGTAACATCGAGACATAAAATCTATCTTTGTAAGATACGTATATATATTTTATGTATATAAATAATAATTTATATTTAATCTCTCGGTTATTATAACACTTACCTTAAATCATCTATTATTATTTTTATAATAATTACATTTTATCACAGTCTTTATGCATATATCGCAAGAGTAATGACTATGTTGACATGTTTCCTTTTTAAAGATACCTACCGATACAGGATGCTCGTCTTTTAAATAAATACAATCTGTATTACAATCGTTTGTTTCATTTCTCATTCATTATAGAACAAAAATTTATTGATTTTTTTAAATGCAAATTGAACGATAACAACCTCAACTTCTTAATTTTTTTTTTTTTTTTTTTTTTCATTTTTCTTTACGACTATTGCATTCATAATATTCTCATAATTTTTTTTTATAAATAAAAGAATTTTAACATAAACAAAAAAAATAAATTTTTTAGAATTTTCTATATAAAAAAAATTCTGATTAAATTTCAATGGAAATATAAATTTTTCATACATCAAGTTGATGAGATAGTTTAAAAATATCGCTTGTATATTTTTGTATTTATTTTTTGTCGCATTTATAAAATGAAATTTTTTTTTAATTCAATTGATGATTGATAAAAATTCTTTATTTGACACTGTTTAATTATAAGAGTTTTTTTTTTTTGTAAAACAAAGTGCGATATTTTTCAGCGTCTTATAAACTACTAGATTTTTTTTTTGCATTGAGTAATTTGTTTTTACATTTTCAATTATATATACAATTTGCATTTTTCACGTTATGACAAACTTACCCTGCAAGCCTTTATTCTGTATTATTTTGAAGTATTGTTGATTGGTGTTATCGCAGTTTTGTAAATAATTAATTGCTTATTAATATTATCAATAATAATAATATGAAAATAAATGTTTCAAAATATTAACAATTAACAAAAGAAACAAACAGTGAAAAGTGAAATAAAAAATAATTCAATACATAAGGATTAAATTAAAAAAAAAAATAATAATTTTTAGAGAGAAAGAAAAAAAATATTATAATGTAAAATATTGCTTATTGCAATAATTTGTTCTAAGTATCGACAGTTATGAAAGAAAAAAAAAAAGTTTTTTTTTTCCATTTAAATTAAGATAAATATTCCAATTATTGAGTTTAACTTTTAAAAGGATTTTAACAAAAAAATTACTAAATTATTTCTCTAAAAAAACAAAATAAAACTGAAAAATTGGGATATTTATCTTATGTATAAAATTTATCACAGCCTTAAGACTTCAATAATCGTTGAGAAGTATTCGTTTATGAAAATATACATCAAAAGAGCAACGTTTAAATAATAAAACGTTGTTAAAGAATCTAATAAAAATTCAATCTTTCATTCTCGAAATATAAAAACAATTATATTGTTTTTATATTTCTTAATACGTTTCACCTGTAGTTTTATTATTAATCAATAAATACTTAAATATTGAAATATTTAAATAACTTAAAAAACAATCATTCACTAGCATTAATTACAGCATTGAATAATTAATAACAAAACTATAGGTGGATATATAAATATTCTTAAATTATGATCCGTGTAATAGACCATTTAAAAGCAGCATGCATTTGACAACTCGACAATATTAAAATATTCATATAAATATATGTATAAATTTATGTATAACATAAAAAAGAGAGGAATATTTCGGTTGTTGGAATTATCTACAGGAGACTACGGTATTTTTTTTCGGTTTATATAAAGACCTTTACTAAGATATTCCGTGAGAAATGTAAGTTAGTATTTTAAGTATAAAATCCACTAATCTAAACTAGCTTATAAATTGTTAAAAAAAAAAAAATATATAAACTACTTAGCACTAAAAAATATGCATACTAAATGAAAACATTTACAGTAAAATTTTGATTATAAATTGCAACAAACATTTCTCACAAAATTAAATATTATATATATATCACAATAATGTGAAAACTACATACGTATTATTTTTCACAAATTGTCACATTTGTCAATTAATTGACAATTTAAATATGCAATAATATAAAATCGCTTATAAAATATTATTTAAAGCTTTTGTTAATTAAAATTGGTTTGTCCTTATAGTTTTGATTAAAAAAAAAATATAAACATATTTTTTTTTCTTACAAAAATCTTTTACATTATTTATATCTTTTAAATTATTTAAATAAAATTTTTAACACAAAAAAAATAAACGCTACAATTTAGCAATTATTTTTTTTTTATACAGACAAACCACAATATCTAATTAAGCATTTAAATATAAAAATAATAATAATGATAATGGTAATAATAAGAATAATAATAATAATAATAATAGTAATAATAATAATGGTAAAAAAAGAAATAATAAATTAACAATTGTCTAGGATTAAGTGTTACAGATGAATAAAGTAAAGACATGTTCATTATTATATATTTTAAATCCGAATAATTTGTATTAGATTAACATACAGCTTGAATCGTCACCTTTAATCAATTAATTTAATTATCTTCAACATTTATTACCAAGTGACGTTTAGTTATTAATTATTTTTTTTCTATATTCAAAAATTGCCTCATATAACGCGTTAGATAAAACACTTCACACTTTTTTTTTTTTGTTTTTTTTTCGACTGATTTTTCACTGTTGGTGATAGTTGTCAATTCTGTTGTCTACATTCATTCGCTTAAATAACTTTAACTTATTTTTTTAATTATTCCATATACTATGCATTCAGAATATATATATATTTTTTTTGTTTAATAATATCAATGTATTTCGTGGCATGTTCCGTTAAAAATCATAAAAAAAAGTTACTCAAAATTGTCACTGTTCACACAATCGTTTTAGTTATGGAATAATTTAAATAGCGATCTGATATCAAAAAGATGCATTTAATTATCTCTATATTCTATATTCGTAAACATATTGTAAATATATATAGATTTACAAGATATTAAATTTTAAAATGCCACTTTAATTTTAATATCAAACACAAAGAGCACTAAATTCAAACCGTGTATGCTTACGTGACTGTGTAATAAGTGTTACTGTTTATTAAAAAAAAAAAAAATATATATGGAATAAAGAATGTTGTATCAATATTTTTGACGTAACTATTATATAACATAGTTGCAGAATGTTATCAGGTCATTGTCTTGGTTGTTCATACTAGTGTCTAGAACGATGAGAAGAATCAGCACGTTCATCACGACGATCTCGTTCACGTTCTCGTTCTCGTTCAGGTTCACGTTCACGTTCTCGTTCTGCTGGCCGACGAGCTGTCTCACGTTCGCGTTCTCTGTCACGATCACGTTCTCTGTATCGATCGTCGTAATACCTAGACAATGTAGATTAGTCAATTATGATTAACTTAAAATTAAATTATATCTAATTACAATTACAATAGTAATATTAGGTAGATTTCATAGGAATTAATCTTTTGTATTAGTCCTCATGTCGGAATTTTGTCGTAATATCTCTTAACGAGTCGAACAAAGCTTAAAAATAACATTAGTTAAGAAATTTGTTACACATATTCTTTGTATAATAAGCTTGAATGAGTTCGAAGATGAGCGAAATCCATCAATAAGTTTAGAAATGGCAACTCTTCAAAATTATCAAAATAGTGAAAATCACGTTTTCAGTGACTTCATTGATATATAACTCTTCATTAAAAAGAGATGGATCATTTTTGATAAATTCACGTTAAAGCTCATAAAATTACCTTCAATTTGATGTATACAACAACATTGACATTTTGACAATTTTTAGTTATTTTATCAAAATTAAGAGTTCTATTGAACCATTTTCAGGCAATGTGTAGTACAACGAACTTATGAATGTTATTCTGTCGAGAATTCTCAACAGATCTTATATTAGTGAAATTTAGTATACAAATTCCTTAGACAGATTAGCTTACATGAACCTTAAAATAAGCGAAAATCCTTCGAATAGTTCAGAAATAGTAACTCTTCAAAATAGTAAAAATTACGTTTTCGGTGACTTCATTTATATATAACTTTTATATTAATAGCAAAAAGATAGCTGATTTTTGATAAATTCATGTGAAAGTTCACAAAATTACTTCTAATTTGACGTAAATAACGTTAACGTTTTGACAATTATTAGTTATTTTATCGAAATTAAGAGTTCAATTGAACCATTTTCAGGCAATGTGTAATACAACCTACTTATGTATGTCAAAATAAATTTCATTTCATATCAAACGAAAGTTATTGAGACAAGATGATAATTCATTCTATGAAATCTACCTTTCATTTCGAGTGTTGTTTTTTTTTACAATAAATATTTACAATTATTGTTTTTATACACATTTTAAATAATATATCATAATTTACATTTAATAAATTATAACTACAATTATTATAATATCTATCATTAGATACATATATCAAAAATATTTTATTACCTAGATGGTTTTGCTGACGAAACAGGCGCAGCTTCAGCAGGTTCTTCTTTAACTCGTGGTCTGGATGATTGACGTGTTGTACTAATAGAAAATTTACAATTTATATTTTATAATTATGTCAATCATTATCACAATTTATCAACACATCTCTCATACTCATTCTCTTACACAAACTTTCAATAAAATTTTTATAAATATTTACAACATTCATTTGATCTTCTTCATAACGTTAACACAACTTAAGAAAAAAAATATAACAATTTTATTTTAAATAATTTCAAAATAACAAACCTATAACATCCGCATTTATCTTAATTAATTTGTTAAAAAAATTCATTTTCATTATAATTATCTCAGACACGGTCAAATAGATAAAGATATTTCATGGCGTATTGTATTACAAAATAATTTCAGTTCCGAAAATATTTACAATAGCCATCAACATAATAATTCAATAATTATTCATAATATCCATCGCAAATAATCATCAATAGTCATTTTCAGCATCAATTATTAAAAAAAAATATTTTTTTAATCTCTTGCAATAGAAATAAAATATGAATAAAGTAAAATTACAGGGACTTACCTCTCTTCTCTGCTGCGTTCACGGTACTCGCGATCACGTTCACGTTCACGATCCCTCTCACGACTGCGTGATCTTTCTCGTGGATATGTAGCTTCATTGTAGTAACGTTCACGATCACGTTCACGATCTCGATCACGTTCACGGTCGCGGTCACGCTCACGATCACGTTCTCTTGAACGTTCACGGTATTCACGATCACGGCTCCTTGATCTTTCACGCCTGCGTCTGTGACTTCGTTCTCTGTCCCGTGATCTTGACCGTTCTGTTGAAAAAATATTTATAAATAAATTTTTCTAAATTCATTAGTAAAACTTTTGAAAAATAATTTGATAGATATTTACAAGTGGGGTCAACCATTTTTTAATTTTCATTTTATTGAACAAAATTTCTATTTTATTTTGTTGATATATATTTTTTTGAAAAATAAATAAAAAATGAACAATTAAAAAAAAAGTTGATTTTTGAGTTTTAGCAAATTTTTTTAGAAAATTGTGATGTTCAAATTTTTTTTTTTTTTCAAGTTCGTTTTTGTATGTACTTTTCAAAAAAAATACATATCAAAAAAAGATGAAATAGAAATTTTATCCAAAAACATGAGAACCAAAATTTTTTCCAACTTTTCAAGGCAAGGAATTAATTAATTTAAATTAATTAATTAATTTCTAGCATTTGCCATTTGGCTTCTAGCCTTGGCATTTAAATAAATATAAATAAAAAAGCTATCAAAATATTTATTTTTTTTTCATGACATTTATTATCATAAATGCGCCGTAAAAACCTAGTTATGGCCCAAAATGGGGTTGACCCTTGTAAATAATTACTAATAATTTGCTCAAAACTTACCACGACGTGCAGATCCATAACTCTTGGTCTCGACACCTCGTAGAGTATCTTGCAGCGAGCTGATGAGAATTTTGCATCGATCATCACCTGCGACCTTAGACTGTTTAATAAGAGATATCGCAGTGACAAGAGTCTCGATAGCACTAGCATACTCTCCAGCAGCAGCGTCAGACACAGCACGTGCAATAGCTGATGATGACACGGTTCTATTACGATCCATTATTACTTCAAACTCTTGTTCTCTTATTTGAGGTTGATCTTCCGGTCGATGATCAGCTCCTGGTGTTCCGTATGGCGTCTATGATTATAAACAAGTAATTAATTTATCAGCTGATAAAAAATTAACCTGATAAATTTTCAGCAATCAATTTAAAGAAATTTACCTGAGCAGGTGGTGGTCCATAGCCATGAGGAGGAGGATGAGGACCATGAGGTTGTGAATGCGGAGGACCATGAGGACCGTGAGGAGGTGCATGAGGAGGTCCGTGGGGTGGTGGGCCTCCGGCATGTTGTCCCGGATGCTGATGCGGTGGACCTTGTGAGAAAAATGCAGGATTTACGTGAGGAGCTGGTCCTCCAGGTGGTGGTCCTTGTGGTGGACCACCGTGGCCTGGTGGAGCGCCTCCTGGACCAGGAATCATTCCACCCATTCCTCCTGGAGGAGGTCCGCGTTGAGGTGGTCCTTGTTGTGGACCTTGCATGTGCTGGTGCTGAGGAAATCCTGGAGGTCCTTGTTGTCCATGATGCATTCCTTATAATTATTATCGTTAACTCGATTTTGATATTTAAAAATTAATCTTTACTCACCAGGAGGTCGATTCCATTCTGGACGTGGTGGAGCACTTCGTGGGTCTCCAGGTGGACCGCCGGGGTGACCTGGAGGCCGAGGAGGTCCTTGACCTGGTGGTCCAGGTGGGCCGCCATGGAACTGCTGTAATATATTATTATGGTTGTAATTTTTTTTCGATAAAATTAGAAGCAGTGACATCAAAACTAGTCTAAAATTTAAGGTAGTTTAATAACCAAATGACTTAAACTTGACCCCATATTTTTTGATATTTATCCGAAAGATTATGATTAAATACATCTATAGAAAAAAATCAGATTTATTTACCACATTATTTATGAGATATAATAATTAATTAAAATTATGCAAAAATAGGTACACGAGCTCTAATGAGTGTCCTTGTTCAATAATTCCGGAAATTAAGGGCTTGTAAAAAATTGGCAAGCTTGACCTCACAAAAAAAACTTTCCAATAGATAGTACGATGTTTCATACATATTTTATCAAAATTTTATAACGATTTACCATATAGTTTTAATTTAACTAATTTTTTAACACTATAAATTGGTTTCCATCTTTATTGTTTGTCGGTGACATTAATCCTCCATATTTATCAGGGGAAAAAAGGTGACTTCTCGGTACGCGACTAATTTGAAATTGAAATATAATCATAAAGTTTTGTTGTATTAAAATAAATTGTTATTAAACGTACACTAAAAGTTCATGTGAATTATAGCAGAGTTAACATATTGAAGTGATACTTGCAAATTTAAACAATAAATGAACACCGTGAGCAACTGTTTCAAGTACCGACCTTACATAACTTATAACAGTTGTCATTGTTTTGTGACAGCCCAGTACTTGTCAGTTGATATTTTACTAATTATTTAACCATAATTATGAATTGAATTTATTCAATTAAATTCTGATTAGAAATAATTTTATATTTTATGCTATTTTTCGAGTGATCACTTGCAAAAAAAAAATATCTATTAATTTGACCTCGGATTACGACTACCAAACTACCTTATAAGGTATTATAATAAAAAAAAATTTTATTGAGTAAAATGATAAATTTACCATTCCAGGAGGTCTATGTTGTCCAGGACCCGGTCCAGGTGGTCCTTGCTGAGGAGGTCCATTAGGCCGAGGGGGTCCAGGTGGTCCATTTGGCCTTGGGCCGTTCCAGTGCCCTTGCTGGTAACCCGGTGGCGGTGGACCTTGGTTAGGATGTCCAGGCATTCCGTGGTGAGGTCCTGGACCACCCATAGGTGGACCATGCATTCTTGGTGGACCTTGTTGACCTGGTCCTCCGGGACCTGGTGGTCCCATGCCAGGAGGCGGCATTCTTTGAGGTCTCGGTCCTTGGGGTGGACCCATCATCATTCTAGGCCCGTGGTTTTGTTGGGCATGTTGTGAGTGTTGGGGGTGCTGAGGATGCTGCTGATGAGGCGGCATCGGAGCTTGATGCTGATGTGGGTTGTGAGGACGCTGACTCTGATTTTGTTGTGGAGCTGGAGCTGGTCTTGTTTTACACTGTGACTCGAACTATTAAGAATAAAAATATTATATTAGTTTATATAAATCAAATGCTTTTATTCATTTCATCAAGTGTGAATAAAATAATTTTATAAACAGTACCTGGTTTAAAGCTTGCTTCGTGGGATATGTAACCATAGGATTTTGACCATGCAACTCTTTCTTCGGAAGTCGTTCCATACAAATTCTCATACTCTGCTCTGAACCGAGCGATATAACACAAAATCCTTTGGATTGTCCATTGGCACGGTTTTCAAAGAACTTAACTTCGACAAAATCTGATACTCCAATACTTTGTACGCAATCTGTGATATCTTGATCACTTGTCCACTATAACCGACAAAATTCATTTATATTGATTGTTTATCCACAAAGAGCTTGACTATCTGATTGTTCCAAAGCAATCAGATAATTTACAAAAATATCCAAATATTTTTGTAAATTACAAATTATTTCAAGTTTAATTCTTTAACTTTCTTAGTTATAAAAATTAAATTAGCTAACATTTGCAAATTTTTGTAATTTTTAACTTCCCGCTAAAAATCTCATATTTTCAAAAATCGGGAAGTTATTGTTTTCACCCCGTTTTATAAAAATCGAGTTTTCATCAGATCTCGACGTTTGAAGGTCACAGGAAGCTTCCCTGACTATTTTTACGATGATGTCCGTACGTCTGTATGTGTGTGTGTGTGTGTGTGTGTGTGTGTGTGTGTGTGTGTGTGTGTGTACCTACTTGTAACTTTTGAACGACTTGACCGATTTCATCGCGGTTGGGGTCATTCGAAAGGGCTTCACTAAACTTAGATTTCCTGAAAATTTGAACCGAAAGTGTTTTTTTTATTTTTTTTGTAAATACTCCGAATTGGCTGACCGATCGGTCTCAAAAACTAATCNNNNTGTGTGTGTGTGTGTGTGTGTGTGTAAACCTCTTGTAACTTTTGAACGACTTGACCGATTTCATCGCGGTTGGGGTCATTCGAAAGGGCTTCACTAAACTTAGATTTCCTGAAAATTTGAACCGATTCGGACCGGTAGATTTCGAGAAAATCCAAAAAAAGTGAAAAAAAAAAGTTTTTTTTTTTCATTTTTTTTAAATATCTCCGAATTGGCTGAACCGATCGGTCTCAAAAACTAATCAGCTCTTAACCTTGAAAACCCCCATGGATCACCACCAAAAACGTCAGAATCGGTTGATGCGTTCGTGAGATATCGTTGTCGAAAAAAATCGAAAAAAGTGTTTTTTTGTAATAACTTCGAAATTCATGGCTCGATCGATTTAAACTCGAAAATTTTTCATGGAGCTTCAGAAACTGCGTCGATTGCCGCCAACCGCGTGAAAATCGGTTCATTCATTCAAAAGTTATAGCAGTTTAAAAATTAAAAAAATCGTGTTTTATCAAATTTTGATAAGACTTTTGAGCTCGAAGAGCTCAAAAGCTTAAAACATCTACTTTTTTTATAGAGCTCAAAAAACTGCGTCGATTGTCGCCAACCACCTGAAAATCGGTTCATTCATTCAAAAGTTATTGCCGTTTGAAAATTCAAAAAATTGTGTCTTTAAACTGCTATTAGAGTTTTGAGCTCGAAGAGCTCAAAAACGTAATGTGTAGTTTGAAGCGTTTAAGTAAAAAATGAGCAGGAAGTTGCAGGAATGGCCTTTAGGGTGAACCGTTTTTCTAATTTTTTTTATTGAAATAATTATTAAAAAAAATTAGAAGAAAAAATTTCAAATATAAAAAATTAAAAAAATTTTACGTGCAATTTTTTTTCAAGTATTTGTTTATTGATAATTTAATTGTTGAAAACATTCAAAAATTTTGAAAACATCGGCTAATTTTATTATTATTTCTCAGTTAATCATTAGTCATTAGTAAAATTTTCTGAGTACAATCAATGATAATCAAAAAAGATATTATCGAAATATTATGTAAAGTTGTAAATATTAGGAAAACAATTTTTTATTTTGTTCTATACAAAGAAATCATCAAAATTGGTTCATAAATTTTTATTTCAAAAAATTATTAAAATCTAATATTTATACTTGATTACATGACAAAGACTAACACAAGAGAGGCGATAGTAAATATATGTATTCAAAATATTAGTGTAGTAAGATTTTTGAGTTCTCCGTACAAAAATTAATCTTAGTTTATAATATTTTATTTTGTAGTTTTTATCATAATATATTTAACATTTGGTTACAGGCGGAAAAATCATAATAAAAAATGATATGTTACCAAAGTCTGATGCCTAATATCGACGTTCTAATTAGCAAATTGTCTCTAAAAAATCATTTAATATCATTATTATCTAATAGAGATATAATATTTAGGTTTGAATCATTTAAATAATTTATAATTCTCTAAAATATTCTCTAAAAAATAAGGAGTTAGACAAATCGCTAACTAGACCGTCGATATGTAGTATGAATATGTTGAAATTAGTTTGTAAGGAAAAAATTTTTTATGTATCTTAATATTTAAAAGTATCTAAAAATACTAATGTTAATATTTTTGTAAAACACATAACTGTGATACCAATAAAACTCAATTTATTTAACATTTGGTTTAATTAGTTCGAAAAGGAAATACAGTTCTAACTCTATTTTATGACGTTAGACTCATGGGTCACACAATGGGACTCTTATCTTTTTTCTTAAATATCCTTGTACAATTGTTTAATTTTTGTTTAGCTAAAAACATCTGTAATTTGAAGTATTAGAAGAGAGGTTTAAACCTCTTTGTAAAATGGTTTTCGTTAGAGAATAAGTTAGTTCATAACGACTCTCTCAAGCGTTTCTCAAAACGCTATACTTTAATAAAGATTAAATATCTTATGCTATAAAAGAAGTTATGGATGTTATGTATTTATTTCACGATTCAACTATCCATAACTTCCTACAAAGATATTCACATGAATTTATAATTCGACTTTTTAAAGTATTGATCATAAAATTGATTGGTATTTAAATGTTATGGTATTCAATTCATAAATTTAAAGTATAGAATCTGATAAGCAGAAAATAGTCTATTAAATAAATGTCACTAAATAATAAAATCACAAATTGTTTCTCATAAATTTAAAAATCCTTCATCAAAGCTGTTAATCTTTTAAATAGTAAATAATAAAAGGATTAAGTTTGACTAAAAAAATAATAAAAGCATACCCATGTTAAATTACCAACGTAAAGTTGGTGACGGCGTCCGATTTGATTAGGCTGTATGTTATTTCCGAGTTGATGGTAAGGAGCATTACCATTAGTTTCCTCGTTAGACACATTGGATGCATCAGCATCGCCGCCGCCTCCACTGGTGCTGTTGCTACCAGAAACTCCACCATTACCTCCAGAAGGAGCGGCTATTACATCGTCATATAAATCAACACCATCTCCAGCGAATTCGTCCTATAAATAATTAAAGTAAATTAATTCACAATAATAATTATTAAGTCAACAAACAAAAATTAAATCAAATAAAAAGTTTAACGGAGCATTGTTTGCTTAAATAATGAAATTGGGTATAAAAAAATAACGATAAAAAAAGCTAAAATAAAAAACAATCATACAAATAATGATCACGACAATGATAGACATAGAACCGACATCTTCCAGTTAGATCACCATTTTGCTTTTTTTGATTTCCATCAACTACTCGCACTCCGATCGACCGAAAAGCAAAAAATAACAATGAAAATAGCTGGAAAATTTAAAGCATCAAGAGCTCTTTTAAAATGGCACTGATAAACTGCATCACAAGTACCAAAGTAGCCGGTGAAAAAAAAAAAAACTAATGAATGCAGTAAGTGCCGCTTGTAAAACCGATCGTTATCACTGCACATACACGACGCCTAGATACAACCACATAATTAAATGTTTCTACGTGTTTACAGTACCGGAAAAAAAATTAAAAATGTAAATATTTATTAGTAAAATAATAAAGTAATAAATAAAAGTAAAATTTAATTCATTTACCTGGGCGAAATCTTGCTCGAGATCATCGGCATACAAATCAATGTCACCATCCGCCATTTTACGCACACCGACGCTTACTGGCTTATACAGGGCTTCGGCTTCGGGCTTCGATGATCACCTACGACATACGACATCAGCGCCAGAACATGTGCCCTCCGAGCCTCTGCACTACCCAGCGTTATTTGGACGTGCTCGGAAAATTTTCCGGAAGCAAGATGAAATTATGAAATTATTATTTTAAGTGAAATAGAACTAATTGAATTCTTACGTAAGAAAAAGATGGATTAACTATTTTAGTATTAATTTAGTAAAAGTTTTTTGCAGATTAAAAATGAAAATTAATTTACCAGATATTATGATATTAATTAGCCGTCACTTAACAATTTTTTAATTTTATTTATCAAAAAAATTATTTTTAAAAAATTGCATTTTTTATTTTTGAAAATTTCTACATGTCCATTTTTTTTTCTAATTTTTTTTTTTGCCATAATTTATTTGCTATAAAGTTTTTAAAATTATTAAATATATGCTAAATTAATTTTCATGCAGATTTTGACAATTTTGAGTTTTTGTTACAAATAAATTATGACAAAAAAAATTTCTAAAAAAAATTGACATCTAGAAATTGTAAAAAATAAAAAGTGCAATATTTTAAAAATAATTTTTTGGAACAAATTTGTTTGTTAAAAAAAATTAGAAAATTTTGAAGTGACAGCTAAATTTAATGTCATACCTAGATTAAAATATGGATTTAGGCACAAGTTTCATGATTTTTTTTTTATTGAAATTTTTTTTAAGTAGTAAATTTTTTTTTTGTATTTATCCATAGTTTTTTTAATTAATTGTTTCATTTATTAATTTTAATTTACGAAACAAATTAAATGATTAAATTGAAGTTAGCTTAGACTCAAAACGAACGATATATCTTGAATTATCGAAAAAAAACATCGTTCTGATTTCTCATTGGTTTAAATTAACGCGCTCAGTTTAAATTTCTATCAAAACACTTCTATTTTACAAGAATTTAAATTAAGACTGCGCGCGCGCCTTTATTTCAGCCAATAAGAAATCAAGAATCATATCTTGCTTAGCTAACTTCAGATTTTATATTATAAAATACGTTGGAAAGTTGAACTGCGCATGTGCAGATAGAACAAAGAAGAATAAGTTGAAAAAAGATAGAAATAGTCAGTCGTCGTCAGCCAAACGCACCCGTAACTCGCACCATCGACGCTCGGCAAAGTAAAATGTAGTATAAATTAAATAGTGGTATAATTAATATTTCAATTTAAAAATTATATGTAGTGTATGTATTTTAATAATTCATCATAGAACAAAATTCAATAATCAATCAAAGGTAATGACCTGAAAAAAAAAATGAAATCACTTATGAAAATCTCTAATTATAATTTATAATTTTTTATGAAAATTATACTAGCCGAGATCTGAAAATTTTTATAATTTTCTTTATTGAAAAAATATTTACAAAAAAATTAAAAGAAAAAATTTCACATGAAGAAGATTTGAAAAATTATACGTCCAATTTTTTTTAAGTATTTTTTTTACTTGTAATTTAATTGATGAAAACACTCAAAAATTGTTGAATGTCGGATGAAAATTAAGTTAGCCGACATCTAAAAATTTTTAGAATTTTATTTTTATTAAATAAATGATTACAAAAAAATTTTCATTTGTAAAAAACTAAAAATTGTCATTGCAATTTTTAAAAAATATTTTTTTGTTCTAATTTAATTATTAAAAAAAAAAATTAACAATGTCTGCTAACGTTAGTATTATGAAAGTCTGATAATTTTACTATAAGGATTTTTTTATAGGCATCCAGGTGAAGATTACTCAGAACGAAATTTCTGCTCCTGATCCCGAGCCAATCATCATCATCATCTGGCATCGTCCAGTAAAGAAATAGCAGTTAAGTGATGTTTCCTTGCAGCACAGAAAATTGTTAATTTTTTGATGAACAAAATTAACAATCAGAATGACACTGAAGTTAGCGGACGTCTAAAAATTTTTGATTTTTTTTTTTTAATTAAATTACAACTAAAAAGATATTTATAAGAAATTGCACTTATAGTTTTTTAAGTTTTTAACATATGATATTTTTTTTTTAATTGTTTAATTGAAATTTTTCCGATAAAAAATTCATAAAAATTTTGAATTGTCAGCTAACTTCATTTTCATCAATCAGATCATAATAAATGAAATTAATTGTTAATTAATACAAGCTCATCATTAAGATGACAAATATAATTGTGCTGCTTGGATTGATAGCAAGTATACACTTGGGTATTTAATATTCCAAGTGTATAAGGATACCCTTCTGCATATTATTTCTTTGCTGAGGTTTGTTGATAATTTTTCAACCATAGTTATATTAAAAAAATTGCATTTTTATTTATTATTCTATATTTTGTGCTGAAATAATTTTTTTGGCGCCAAATCGGCTGCCATTTTGCTTACCTTTATTCTGTTGATGAAGCAGCCGTAACCTGGCGCCATCACAAGTTACAAATAGAAAACTACTAGCTAAATATTTTTAATAATATTCCCACTCTGAAACGTTAGACTGTCAGACATTAAAATTTTGACGTTAAATACTTAAAAACTTGGAGTTAGTTAAAATGTTATTGACATTAAATAACAAAGTAAATAATTCAATATCAAGGTAACAGTCATAAATAATTAATAAAACTGTGACCATGCACGAACATTAATATCTAAGTGGTTAAGGATTATCTAATTGTCATTGACTTGGAGATTACAGATTAGTTTTATGTACTTAAATCTAAATAATTAATCATCACATCAGAATCATCAACAATCAGTGTAATTACCATCACAGCAACAAAGTGATCAGTGGACAATGGCTTGTTCATTGTTAAATCAAAAAAACATCCAGATAAAGATACCCGGATACGAAACAACAGACAATGTTACATTCTACATAATAAATGTCAGTATTGGTGACGTTAATTGGACTCTCAAGCACAGATACAGCGAATTTGTGGTCCTGCATGATATTTTGGTGACAGAGCACTGCGTCGAAAAGGACATTCTGCCGCCAAAAAAAATAATCGGCCGAAAAAATGAAGTTTTTATTGACAAGCGCCGTCAGGCTTTGGAGATTTACTTGAACGCTATTTACAATTACCTCAAAAAAACAATGCCCAGAGAATTTGTCATGTTTCTGGATCTTCATGTCTACGATATATTTTTTTTACTGCAAAATATGGCCTTTAAATTTTTTAATGAAGGTCCTAATATTTTGCAAGTCAAGTCTTATACTTTTACACCTATTCAGGTAATTATTTTTTCGACTAAAAATTTTATTTTAATTTGTTCGTATATTATAATTAATATTTTAAGTGTTAAGAGTTGTAATTTTTATTTAAAACAGTTGATTAGTATTACTCAATTATCTTTTATTTGATGCTTTCTTTTATTTTTATATTCGCTTGATAATTTTTATCTTGAATGATATTTTTTTACACTTGTGAATAATTGAAAAGAAAAAAAAATGTTTGGTAATTATATACTTATTAACATATTAATTTTTTTTAATCAACTTGTTTTACTCTTCGTCAAATTTAAGAATTTTTATGAATTTTAATTTTTCTGGAATTAAATTGAATTTTATAATTAATCTGCTGGTGAGCGAAATTTGTACAAAAAAAAAAATTCATCAGTCAGTCTTTTAATTTTTAATAACTGAAAATAGGCTCTAAATAATTACTTGCTTTTATTCAAATTTGTATTTTTTTTTTATTATTAACAATTTACATTACAAATAAATTCAAAAAAATTTTTTAAGGGGAAACACCACTGTGACGGTCGAAAAAAAAAAAGGTGATTTTCGGGAATTTTTTTGACAGGGAAAATAAAGAAATTTAGAGATCGGAATTTTTTTATTTTATTAAGGGTGCATTAAAGGTAATTACCCTGAATTTTTATTAAAAAATATTTAATTGTTACAAAGTTATTAACAATCTCGTTGAGTACTAGAAAAAAATTTCCCCTCCATAGTCGTATCGATAACTCAAAAACGGATCATCTGAAAATAAGAACCCAAATTGCTTTTGAATCAGTAAGGATGTAGTTATCGTCGTACGGACTGAATTTTGAAAATTCTCATTTTAAAGATTTTTTTAGCAGAGTTAAAATAAAAAAAAAAAAAAAACAGTACAAATAATCAAAAAATTTTCAATCAGTCGCCATTTTTTTGAAAATTAAAATATTCAAAATTAAGCACGTGCAATGATAACTACATCCTTACTGATTAAAAAGCAATTTAGGTTTTTATTTTCAGATGATCCATTTTTGAGTTATCAATGCGACTATCGAGGGGGAAATTTTTTCTAGTGCTCTACGAGATTGTTAATAACTTTATAATAATTAAATATTTTTTAGTAAAAATTTAGAGTAATAATCTTTAATGTATCCTTAATAAAATAAAAAAAATCCGATCCCTAAATTCCTTTAGTTTCCCTGTCAAAAAAATTCCCAAAAATCGCTTTTTTTTCGACCGTCACAGTAATGTTCCCCTTTAAATTATAAAAACGTCAATTATTTTTATCAAAATTAACACTTAAAATTTTCTAAAAAATTGACTAAACAAAATTAATCCTTCTTCCAGTTATATGCAATAAGCGAGAGACTAAAACAGCCGTGTCCGGCATCGGAAGTAGCGGATAAAAAATGTGACTTTAGTCACGTGCTCGACGTAAACTCGCACTTAAAAACACTAACAATACAAGGCAGCAACGAACTCTATGGTACCAGTAACATAAATTTATCAACTCTGCCGATAGAACTGTCGACATTCAAGACCATCGAGACTCTAGAAATAAACAACTACCCGGTGAACAAAATCTACTCGATGGGTAACTTACGGGACACTACTCGCGTGTTAAAAATCCATAACACGCATTTAAAGAACATCGTCGACCTGGTGATGTGTGAAGAGTTGCATCGCTGCATAGAAAACGCAAACGACTCCCACGTCTGGCTGAAAATAAGTCAATTGGATTTGAGTGACAACAATATCGAAATTATCGACGAGTCCATAAAGTTGATGCCTCACATTGAATCTCTTATCCTGAACAACAACTGTCTGACCGAGTTGTCAAATATAACTCTGCTCCCTCGTCTGTCACAGCTACATGTTGCGTCGAATAATTTCACAAAACTCCCGGAGAACTTACATACCAAACTCGGTAACATTGTCTACATGGATTTGTCGCAGAATAAATTGACTTCATTGGCGGCATTTGCTAAGCTTTATTCTTTAGAATGGTTGGATGTCAGCTGCAATTGCATAGAGAGCATCGATGAAGTCAAGTACATCGGATATCTTCCATGCATTGAAAATCTCCGGCTCACTGGCAACCCAGTGTCTACTATAATCGATTATCGCGTTAAAGTACTGGAACCTTTTGGCAAACGCGCAGCAGATATTTGTCTCGACAATGAGCGTCCAAATCAAAAAGAACTGGATACTGTTGCTGTATTACAAGCACTGAGAATTGCTCGCGAAGGAAAGTCCATGGCGCTCAGTAATACGGACTCAGCGCTTTTTTCTGCTGAAATTCCTATTGTTTAATTATTAGTTATCATTTTTAAATTATAAATAATAGGGTAGCTTTGAAAAGAACTAATTTTTGTTCTTCTAGTTTTTTATGAAAGTATGGTAGTTTATCACGTTTTAAAAGTTGTCTCCAAAAATCAGTTCGATAAAAAATTTTTTCCAGATGTTCTTTTTGTATTTTTATTTATTTAATTTAAATTTCAAAGCAGTGGCCAAATGGTAAATCATACAAAATAAAAAGTAAAAAAAGTACATATAAGAATATACTGATAGAAGGATTTCTTAGCATTTAAGAACATTTTTTCGTATTTAAGAAATCATTTCTTAAACATCATTTCTTAGTATTTAAAATATATTTCTTAGTATTTATAATATTTCTTAGTATTTAAGAAGTATTTCTTAATATTTAAGAAATATTTCTTAAATACTAAGAAATATTTTTTAAATACTAAAAAATGATGTTTAAGAAATGATTTCCTAAATACAAAAAAATCTTTTTAAATACTAAGAAATCCTTCTATCAGTGTATAAACAGATAAACTGACAATGTTGGGATTATAACTAATCGAACAATGCAAACGATTAAAAAGTTTAAATAATGAAATCAACTAATTACTATCATTAAAAGTGAAGTGAGTAAAAGTGAACAAGAGTTTGTAATTTGAATATTTAATGTCAGACTTGAATTTGAATTTAAATTTAAGTATAAAGCACTGCAGATATTAATTAAAATATAAAAATTATAATTATTTTGCTGACTTTGAGTTATGTTGCGAGCTTTATTTATTTAAAAATTGAAGGTATGAATATTCATATTTACAAGTCGCTTGAAAACTTTTTAAGTACTTTTTCTACTTTGGAAGTTGATCTTTAGCGACTCAGAAAAATTTTTTTTTCAAACTGATTTTTTGAGAAGTCTGTTAAAACACGATAAACTAAAATATTTCCACAGAAGACTAGATGAAAAAAAGTATTGGTTTTTTTTTGCCCCAACCTGATGAATTATATTTTTATTGAATAAGATGTATAATTTTTATACAATACAGTTACCAAAAATAATTTGTTCATGAGATCTCTAAATTAAGAAAAAAATTTATTTCGCGCTCACAGAATTGGAGAAGTCAAATTGTATATACTATACAAATATTTACATATTTTGTATGCAAATATTTTTTGATCAATTTTGAAATTTAAATTTATATTTTGTTGTTTTCTTTAGTATTCGTTATTATTTTTTTTTTTTATTTAATATACATCGTAAAAACCGTTACAGTTAAAAAAATTTTCTTTCATTAACTGAAAACATTGCAAGAAAAATTTACATCATGAGTAAAATATATAAAAATTAAAAAATAATATTTTTTACACAAAATTTTTTTACGTTGTATCAATTATTCAAATGTAAATAAATTTATAAATACTTATAGTATAGATCTAGACAATCATTATTAATTATTGCAGTCAATTAATTTTCGAATTAAAATTTTTTTTTTCTATTAGAAAAATAACCGAATTATCGACAGGTGCTTGGAGTTTTGTAACGAAAAACCCTATGAAATTATTTTGATAAAATAAAACTGTGATAATTATCAACTAATATATTTTTCATTCTCTAATAAAATTTAAAAAGTTTTATGATTATTATAATTAGTAACGCACGGGGAAGGCATGATAGTAAATAAAATTTCAAGTAATTATTTTTGAAAATTATATAATTCATAAATAATATTAATTACATAATAATGCTTATAATGTACTAGGCATTGTGTTGTATTTTTTTAGTCTTTTACATGTCTAATCTAATACGTACATAAATTATTACAAATAATCAGATTAATCAAAATTTTCCACTCAACTTTAAAGCCTCAGATAGTAATTCAAAATTTTCTCGCAAATAATTGTTCACCCTTTAATTTACCTTGCAAAATTTTTAAAGCTAGCATTAATTAAATATATTTGTATATATTTATTATAAAGTTATATCATATATTTATGTAAATATCGAAGCATCATTAAATTCAACGGTCTATAAAATATAAACCCGTCAAATAGTCAAATTTAAATATAGTCAACACTTTAAATATAAATTTGCATCAACTAATATCAATATCAATAATTTTTTTACTTAATCTGTGTATAGTATTATAAAAATTCAGAGGCTGAAGGGAAAGTGGACGTTCGTTCAAGTCAAAAAATGAAAAAAAAAATCAATTTTATCAAATGTGTTAATATTATTATAATTGACAGTATCTTTAGAAAGTAAGTCAGTAATTTAGCTGTGGGCGATGGGAATTAATTTTTCTCCGGCGCCCAACGCTGGAAGTGGAGCCTCGACAGTCAAAACACCATCTTTGCTGAGGGATGATTTAATAGTCTCAGGGTTGGTTCCTTTTGGGAGTAAAAATTCACGGTTGTATTCCCTGTACACCGATTTGCTCTCTGTTTTCTCCTCGTGCTTTGCGTGGACCTAAAAATATAAATTTAATAAAAAATCAATTTTAATTAGCTCATATATGAGCTTGTATAAAAGTTTCAAATGCAAAATTACTAACAAATACTTCAAACAATTTAACTCAAGCTTAAGTTTGTAAATATTAATTATATTTTTCAAAAAAATTGGATTTTGGAACATTAAATTAAATTTTCATAAAGATTATTTTGTTTTTAAGTCTTGATAAATTTAAACGTAAAAAGTTAAAAATAATAAAATATTAATATTACTACATTTAATTAAATAAAATTAATTACTTTAATTATTATTTCTTAACAAATACATTATTAAAAAGAGAATTTATCAAAAAATGCTAATTGTGGAAATTAAAAAAAATGTTGATGAAATTTTTTTTTATACAAAAAAATTGTTATATCAAGCCAAAGAAAAAAATTGTATTAATTTTTAAATCTTTAAATACCCGCGCTTTTAATTTGTAATTTTTAAACGATTAACAACTATTTATTTATTCTTATTAATTAAAAAAAAAGTAAAGAATTCTCTTTGCGGAGTTTTTTTCATCAATCCTATAAATAAAATCCTCCTTGGAGTAAATTTCACTCCGGAGGAATTGAATCAATGAAAAATCTACTCCACAAATTTTTTACAGCCTATCTATCATTCTTATCGCGGAATTTCGATTTATAGGAAGGAAAGTAGGGTTCACATAAAAAAAACGGGAAATAAATAAAGGGGAATGTAATGATTGTACGATAAACTTTTATCTAAATATATTGGACAAGTTTGCGTGATCGCATCATATCACCGGTGACTTATTAATATAAAGTCTGTATAATCTGATCAGACGTGACCTAAATGCACGCATTTGTTGTCTAGTTTAACACAACATAGACTAATTTTTCTGACCCGTTTGTTATATATAAAATTTCAAAAATATAATTTATGTTTCCGAATAAAATAAATTATCTAAATAAATCTCAAGAAAAGTCTTTTATTTTGATCATTAAATATTCTGAAGGGCGAACCGGACTATCGACCAGTGGGCAGTCTTGCGTGCTATGACTCACCGGTTACTCGGTACACATTAAATTCATCGAATTTTAGAGTAGGTCAGTGAGAAAGCATTAAAAATTTATTGCACATACTAAAAAATACTATAGATTAAATATTCTTCGAGACCATTAGCTTGCTAGCTTAGGTACTGTCTGCTATAAATGAATGTTTTAACAGCTGGTAATTCTCTTTCTCTGGCGACCACAAGTCGGAATAATCAAAAAATAATGTTATGCCCAAATTATTTCTTGAATATTTTATGTAATTACAAATTATTTGTAGATATTTCAATTCTCTATTTGAATCTTTAAATAAACTAAGTAGTTCACTGAGTCGGCGAGCTCGTCTCGATATAAATCAGGTCAACGCAAATATGCGTGGGTGGAAATAAGAAACTTTTAACTAAAACGTCAATTTTATTTCTTCTCAACCTCATTTACTCTTCATACAACAAATTTATTTAGTAAATTATTTTTCTTGCTTACAACAAAAGTTGTCGCTACCAATTCGGGTGACTTTATTCTTGCGATATCTCTTGAAATACTTTACCAATTTACTAAATTTTTTTTTTACTACCTCCGGAGTCTCTTTTTACACAAATATACCAAAAATAGTAACTTAATTCCCCGTAGTTTATTTATAGTAATCGAAAAAGCGTTAAAACCGGTAGCGTAATTCGCCGCCATCTTCTTTCTAACTCTGCGAAACGGCGATCCAAAAAGCGCGCGAAAGTTATAATTCAAAATTTTCTAATAATTTAACAAATGAACACTGATAGAAGGATTTAGTTTTATTTAATAAGATTGAGTAATAGGTATTAAATCATTTATCAAAGCCGATTTAGTTCCACAAAATAGATATTTAGTAGTATTTCACAAATGATTTAATGGTACTCAATAAATCGTTTATTGGTATCAAAGAAATTAATTTTTTAACTAATTCTAGAGTGTAACCTAACTTTTTAACTTAATATAAATTAAAATAATTTTAAGTAAAAATATAAGGTATTCTAAAGAAAATAATCTTATTAAATTATATATTTTTGTTTGAGATATTTATAAAATTTAAAATTAAACAAGTTTTTAACACATTAAATAGACAAATTGAAAAATGTAAACTAAACTCTACTAAGAAAAGACATAAATAGAAAACATTTATTGGGAGTATGTGTGTTTTTAAAAGTTTGATAAATCTCCTAAAATCGAGCTGAATAAAATAATCTGAGCCAGTGAATAGGTTATGTATCACATAAAAATTTGAATTAACCTCTTACTAAATATTATTTGGTGGAACTAAATATTTATTTCCATCTAATAAGGCTTTGTTTATATAAAGAAATCATTTGTTAAACTGTAAAAAATAATATTGATGGGTACAAAATATTTGTTTCTCCCAAATAAATGAATAAAAATTTTGTTACTAAATCGGTTTAGTACTCTGTACTAAATCCTTCTATCAGTCTGCTTACAACAAAGGTTAAGTCGCTACCAATTCGGGTGAATTTATTCTTGCGATATCTCTTGAAAGACTTTACCAATTTTCTAAATTCTTTTTTTACTACCTCCGGAGTCCCTTTTTACACAAATCTACCAAAAATAGTAACTCAATTCCCCGTAGTTTATTTATAGTAACCGAAAAAGCGTTAAAACCGGTAGCGTAATTCGCCGCCATCTTCTTTATAACTCTGCGAAGCTGCGATCCAAAAAGCGCGCGAAAGTTAAAATTCAAATTTTCTAATAATTTAATGAATGAAATAACGAATGAGTAAAAATAAATAAATTTTATTAAAGTACAAATTATTAAGTAACAATCAATTGTACGTGGGCATTTCAGGGTACTTAAATAGCAACCGCTGTGCGCTACCAAAAATAACTCGACCCTGACTGTGTACTAAAAGACCTCACGAAGCTCGATGCGCTTCACAAGTCAAAGTGTCACTCTCTCTTCCCGATCTTATTTTTGTTGCTAAATAAAACAACAAACTGAACATGTACATGTACAAGTTAAGCAACAAATCGTGCCGGGAATTTTTCTCAAGTCTCTATCGGTAAATACTACCGACTCTCTCATCACGTTCTCGTTAAAGGTCACATTACCGCGTGAATTTACTTTATGTATTTTTATAATTCGATACCAATCGACGAATTTTACACGCGAGAAATAATTTCCGTAGCATCAATCTAGTAAATATAATTTTTAATTACAACTTTGTGAATAACCGCAGACTTAAAAGTGAAAATTGCTCTCCGTTTATTGTATAAAAACACTCGGTACTTAAACTTGTAATTTAAAACGCCCAGATCGTCTTACTTATTGTGCAAAATGTTTCTTTTTTCTTATATTTTAATTAATTTTTATTTCAAAGTCTATAAACGCGTTAGCTCAGGGTTGTCTTTTAGCCTTGATGACGAACCACTTATCGACCGTGAGTGAGTTTTCGATCTTTTTAAGGTCTGACTGTGTGACCCGAAAACCTTGACCACAATTTTATAAATTACTTTTATGGAGATCTATATATAATTGTCCTTAGCTACTAAATTAGCGATTGATGATTTATTTATAAAATATATATTATTTATTTAGAGCAAATAGAAAATTTAAAGCTTGCGAAAAAAATCTTTTGAGAAGAAAGTCCGTTGACCTGAATTGTGAATTCCCTTGGAAATAACGGTGAACTCTGATCTTTTTTCAGTCTAATGTAACTATCGTGAGCGAGGTGTCATTATAACTGACTAACAACTTAGAAACTTCCTACACCTACCACTTGTTGATTCTAGAGTGATTGTTGAGAGCAAATATATATAATATAATGATTTCATTTATTATTCATTTTCATTGGTCTTATCGAAAGACAAACAGTGATCTTTGTTAATTATGTGGAATATAATAGGGCGTCTCGGATTTTTTTTAACGTTATTTCGAGAAACTAATTTATACAATATACAATGTGGGATAAGACGGTATTTACAGTGCTGTAACCAAGGCGAGTTGTTCTTATTTTTAGAATATACTATTTCAGTTCGGCGCTATATGCATGGTAAATTCTCTTTGCTTGGCACCTTCTAGGCGAGACTTGAGATTTAAATTTAATGCAAACGAAAAAAGTTTATTCATTTTAGAAATTAATTTTTTTTTGTTAATCAGTGCGCTCATAAAAAAATATTTGATTCGAGAGAAATATTGTTCGTGAAAAAACATTATTATTGTTAAGAGGATCTTAAATTTTGACTCAAGAATTTCTAGTCTTGAAACATCTTTTTTTGGCGAAAAAAAATTCGGAATCTAACGATCGAGAGCATACTATAAAAGTTACATACAATCAAATTCGATATCGAAAAACAATGTATTTTTTAAAAATTTTCTAAAAAAAAATTTTTTAAAAAAGAGCCACTTCAATTTTTTGCAACAGCGCAGAGGTAACACCATTAGTCTGGCACACATGGAAACAGGGTTCGATTCCCGTCGTCATTAGTTTTTTTATGTAGAAAAATTTTTAAATCTAAATGTATAGAATCAATTTTTTTTAGCGTATATTCAAAAATTTATAGATTTTTAAGTTTTTAAAGATTTTATGAGAAAAAAATGTCTATAGACTTAAAATTTTAGTTTATCAAAAATATTGTTGGATATTTTTGTTGTGGACGGAAAAAATTGCAATTTAAACAATTCAAGTATTGTTTTTTTAAATATAAATAACTAATTTTTTATTATCAAAACCAATTTAAAACTTTTTAATATAAATTTTACTTTTAAAATTTTAAACTTTTTTAATTTAAAAACATTTTTGAATTAAATATCAAATTTTTTTTTATTTAATATTTTTCAACTAATTTTTTTTTGTGCATATATTTTATATATAAAAGTAAAAATTTAGCGCGCTAAATTATAATTATTATGAAGTGTGATATGTTAAAAATTTAAAGTAGGACAAAGTGAAATATCTGGCGGAATTCCAATAATTCAACAAGTGCATACCAAGAGCTTGTTGTCGACCGTCTTGACAACTATTTCCTCAGGTGTGTATTGAGAGACATCAAATCTGAGCTTCAGCATTTTGTTGTCACCCTCATCCTGGATGAGTGGGCTGTTGAGACCGTCCAACCAGGTTCGGGAGTCATGTTGAGGAGCGACTGAGCTGTTGTGCTGAGTACTTTGCTGCGTGGTTGAACTAAAAACAAATAAATTAACAATTAGTCTCACTAATTTTACTAAAAAAAAAAAAAGAAAATTTAACAGACTTATTAAACTATAATTGTCAACATAAAAAATGAAGTGCGATGATCATTGCGTTTCGTGGCGATACAATCTAGAATTTTTATAAGAGAGTACATGTATAAGAGAAGAAATACGAATATTTCTAATCAAACTTCGTCCGCCTTCGGCGAGCGCGTTTGATCCTTAAACTAACATTCATCGATCTAAATGTAGCAAAATTATAATCAACAATTAGCCAGCTAATGATGATAATAACAATAACTTTTTAAGACCCAGTTGTGAATCGATTGAACTAAAGCCTAACAATTTTAAAGAAATTCCTAATTAGGTTTTCATTGATATCGATTATTATTAGTATCATTTGTCATTAGTTATTTATTACTAATTAATACACTGTAAGAAATTTGCAGAGTGAATAATTTTTAATTAATTTATTTCTTCTGAAGTGAAATTCACTCCTGAAAGAATTTGATTTGTATTATTGATAAAAAATTGGAAAATCCAAAAGTGCACGACCCATAATGCTCATTTAATTATAAAATAATATTAAAAATGTAAAAATTACATTATAAATAGTAATAAACGTCGCTTCGTATAAAAAACTAGAAAAATTGCAGTTTGAAATAACATTTTTATCAATTCAAACTTTCAATATTAATTTTCAAAGCTTTCAATGTAATATTTACATTTTATAATGTAATTTTCTACAAAATCTGTAATAATTACAATGTGAAACTGTAATTTTTCCAGTTTTTCATATCTAAGCGCCACATTACATTATGTAAAGTAATTTTTCTTTTTTTCGTGTGGGATGAATGTGCTCAATATATATAAATAGACATACAGTCCTTTGGCTTTTTTTTTTATATTTATTAATTGCAAATAAACGACTTTAAATTACCTAGCCATTCGCATTACCAATAATTCTTTCAAATAATTTTTTAAAAAAACTTGATGGATTTTTTCGTAAGTTACGGTGTTTTCAGGGTTTCATACATGACGGATAGAAAAATATTTAAAACTATTTTGATGTTTTTTAAGTTTTTATTGCACTTAATAAATTTTTGAAAAGTATGGAATTAATCTCCATTAAATTATCTTGACAATAATCTTAAAATATCTTGATTCCGTGAACTAACAAGTCTGCTTCGCATCATGAGTCGTGCAAAACATTCTACAGAGTGGATTCTTTATTTTTTTTTTAATAATTAAGAATAAATAAACAATTGTTACTCGTATAAAAATTTATTTTAGTACAAAAACTCCGTATTCGAATGTTTTTCTGATTAAAAAAACTTTCAGATTCACTTTTTATGCGAAGTGTTATTTATTTCTTCACTCCGTATTCACCCCCAATTTTTTACAGTGTATAACTCAGCTTTTTCTCACTCATTAATTAAAAACATACGTATGCTGTGGATTTGATAAAAAAAAAAAAAAAAAACATTTAAAAAATCAGCGTGCGTAATATTAGTGACGGATGAAAGCTGAAAAAAAATTTGCAGGATAATAAATTAATAAAATCTAAATCTAGTCTACGGCTAAGTCTAAGTTCTGCGTGTCGAACATACATGTCAGAGAATGAGCGATAAATTTATTTGTAGTTTAATGAGTTGATTATAAAATAAACAATAATTTATTGCTGTGGAGTATTGCTTGTTGGTTTATTAAGTGTCACCTGGTGAAAGACTTGTCGAACGCGGAGCGCTTGGGTGGTGAGGCAGGATCGACCTTCTCCCAACCCTCCGTCTTTGAGGTCGTCGAGGTCCGATGCTCACTGCTGCTCGTATGGTGGCGGCTGGCGTATACATATTTGCATAACATCGGATTATTTTTGTTAGTTAACCAACCAATAGCCGAAATGCCAGTAGCATTAACTTATATATTAATTCTTTTATAAATATTATTATCAAACATTTGTTTAAAGGAATATCAAAGTTATTGTCGGTATTTATCTTCTAAAATTTCGATAAAGTTCAAAACTTTTCCCATATAAAATAAATTCACCTTCAATTCGTCTTAAAAGTGTCTTTTGCTGAAGATCTTAAACGTGACACAATAACAGACGATTTTATGACATTTTTAAGACAGAAAATAAAATATTGAAATGTTTTAGATAAAAAACTTGGAAATTTTTGGCGTCATTTTTTTACATTTTTTAATCAACACCCACTTCATCCTGACCATAATTTTCGAAATAAAGTTCAATTTAGAGATTTTGGAGATAATATTAAGACTTAGAGTTTGAAATATCTGAAACCTCGACCGCTAAAACTTAACAAAACTCTTTAAATACACTGAGTTTAAAGCTTTTTAAGCTCCAAAATCTCTAAATACACTGATAGAAAATTTATGTTGACTCAAAAGAGATATTTTCTTGATCTAAGAATTTATTTTGGAAGACAAATGATTATTTTGCTCTAAGAATTTCTTGTCTTGATTTAGATTTTCTTGGCTTAGGAGCTATATTATCTTCAATCGATACATTTAAGTTTTTCAATCAAAATAACATTATCATTTAAAAAACTTAAAATAATTCATCAAAGCATAATTCAAAAACTAAATAGTCTTTAATTGTTATACCAAAAAAAAAATATTTCTTAGAAATAAGTAAATTAATTAATTAATGACTCAAAAAAAAAAGTCATTCTTAACACAAGTCGGTAACATCTTGAATCAATGTTATCGCCTATCTTGAACCAAGAGACAAAAATTCTTGAAAGAAATATATCTATGTCTAGTTTCAAGAGTTCAAATTTTGAAAAAAAAAAAGTTTCTTGAATCAAGATTGTTTTTCTATCACTATAGTGAATCAAAACATTGTTAGAATAAGAGAAAGAGTATTTGTGCAAACTAGAGATATTTTTTAATATAAAAAAATCTTTGTAAAAACTTTGTAAGATCCAACTTATGTGATACAAATAAAACCTATTTATTTATTTATATTTTATTTTTTGATTTAAGATATATTAAGCAAAAGACACTTTTAAGATAACCCTGATTAAAAAAAAGTATTGAACCTATGCAACTGTATATTTATATTGTATGTATATACAGATATACAGTGTGTGTAATTCAATACTTTTTTTTAATCAGGGAAATTAAAAGCGAATTTTTTTTTATACGAGAATTGGGTTGAAATTATTTGTAATTGTTTAAGATTCAAATTCTAGGTTAAATATTGAAAATACGAAAAAATGATAAGAACGTTTTTGTAGAAAATTAAATTCCCGATAAGTAATGTTCTTATCAATTTTTTCATATCTCGAATTCTTTAACCAGAATTCGAGGTAAAAGTTCTGATAACACTAGCAATCAAATTTATGACTAAAATATTTGCTTACAAATTTAAAAATCGAAATTCTAGTTCAAAAATTGAAAATACAAAAAAATTATCAGACAAATTTTTTTTTAGAAAATTAAATTTCCTACAAAAAAAATTTTTAATCTATTTTATTGTATCTCTAACAGTTTAGACAAAATAATAAAAAATATCCAATGTCAAATTCTACAAAATTCACCGAGAAATAAATTTAGTTACTTACATGACAAATTCTGTATTTCAGTAATGACTTTCGTAACAAACTTTTATTTATTTTTGGCCGAATCGTAAGTCCGTCAATCGTAAATAATTTTTAATGACTTATGCTTAAAAATAAATTACTGTAATTGTAGTAAGAAAGTTTAGAAGATAGCCGGAAGCTTGTCCGCGGATAAAGATCAATGACCTCGAGGTTGCAGGTCATGAGTCATGGGAACATTATCATTACCTTAAAAATAAATATATATTATGATATCTAAAAATCTTTGTTCCTATTCTGAAAGCCGTGGTAATTTTAAACGACGTTTAAGCAGCAGATTTAAAAAATTCATGACAATGCGTTAAATAAAATCGTTCAAATCACGCTAGCTCACGTGCTCAAAACTTGTTTATTTATATTCCCGTTCATATTCGAGACATCGCAACAATTCAAATACGCTTATGTTAAAAGATAACTATTTTTATTTTAAACAAGTCCAGTTTCAAGCAAACGTTCAATTTTCTTAGCACGTTTTAAAAGTAAAATAAAAAGTTTTATTTTCTTAGATCTTAGATTTAAGATCCACCTGTGCAGGAAGTCAGTAAGAGTAAAACACTACCGGAAACGTATTATGGTTCGAGTGGATAAATGAATGGATGGATGCTTTCACGGGCTGTCGATTTAGTTAAAGTAGTTCAACAAAAAGATCCATTTTTAATATATTCATCATTAAAATTCCAGTTTAAAGGTTTTCTCAGTACTTATATATTAGTACATACTATTAAATAGGCAGTTTTATTTCTTTAGCAGCTTCATGCAATTAAACTTAGTTATTTTTATTTTTAGCGGTTTAATTGGATGTCAAAAATTGATATTGAGTATCATCTTTGATATGCAGACTTCAAAAGTTAATACATAATAAGGTCATACAAAAATACACGTGGGCGTTTGATTGATTATCTTTCTTGTGTAACGCTACATCAATTTCCTCCTGTCAACTACTTTTTTCACTACGCCCTTTATTCTCACATTCACGCTACTATTTTCATGTTCTCACACTCGCTGAGAAATTATACTGCGGTAATTTACCCGGCGGTGAAGTAATTATACAAATAAATTAAAGCATTACAATTCAAAATTCTAAGATCGATTTACTAATTTGCATTAGAATAAAAAATTCAACAAATTTTAATTTTAAAAAATTATTTAATTTTTTAATTTCATAAAAATTTTTTACAAGTGGAGTCCACTCTATTTTTGACCATATCTAGGTGAAAAATTAACATTTTTTTTATTCTGCTAATTTTTACGGCGCATTTATGATCAAAAATATCGTGAAAGAAAAAAATAAAGATTTTTTCTAGCTTTTTTGCGTTTAAAAGTTGGAAAAAATTTTGGCTCTCGTGTTTTTGGATAAAATTTCTATTTTATCCTTTTTTTTTGTTTTTGATATATTTTTTTTGAAAAGTACATAAAAAAACAAACATTAAAAAAAAAAAATTGAATATCACAATTTTCGAAAAAATTTATAAATTTTTTTGAACATTTGTTAAAATTGTGATAATCAGCATTTCTTTCTTTTTAAATTGTTCATTTTTTTATGTATTTTTCAAAAATAAATATATCAATAAAATCAAATCAAAATTTTGTTCAAAAAAATGAAAATTAAAATGGTGGACTTCAATTGTAAATAATTACTAAATTTTTTTAATTTATAAAGAAAATTTTGTTCTTCAAGTGACGTAAAAATTTTTTTTTTAATTAATTTAAGCCTTGAAAATTAGTAAATAATTTTTTTTTTCTTAAAAATTACGTGAAATTATTTCAAATGAAATTCAATTTTTCAAAATATTCCAAAAACTTCAAAATTAATTCCCAGAAATTTTCTAAAAAATTTTTCTACCAACAAAAAACTCAGAATTTTAAAAATAACCTAAAGTTAATATGCAAATATCATACAAAAGTAATAAATGATTGTAAACATATAATAGTTGCGTAACAAAATTACATACCGGTATCGTATCACCGTCTTATGACGCGGAGGATACAAATTTTCATCCAGCATCATGGTTATTTTTAAATAATAATACAAGTACTGTCTCTCGTACTCGCAATAAATAATTAAAAAGACGTTCTATCAGGACGGTGTTTTAAAAACGACTGCGCAAAAAAGTGATCAAAACATGCTACGTAAATTGTCATTTAGAGGGGATAGGACTCTACTTGAATTTAACTATTTTTATAGATTGCATGCTGTCTTCTCTTTCAATTCATCATCCATTCATATTTATTTCCTTTTCTAAACTTCTCACTCATAAAATTTCATTCCAACAAAATTTATCGTCACATAGATATACACAATGCATTCAATGAAAACAGAGTAGGTTTGGAGTGTATAACATTACACGAGAAGGTCAGCTATAAAATTTTTTATACAAAATCGATAAAAATCGAGGACAAACTTTGAAATTATTCCTCGAAACGAATAATGCGATTGTTAGAAAAAATTTTTAAAATACATTCGAAATTCGGGGACTAAACCAGAGCTTAGTATTAATGATTGACAAAAAAAAACTCCGACAAAAAAACTTCGAAATCAAAAGTGACTTTTCGACGGTATCTAAAAAAATTTTTCTTCAAAAGTTACGTTAAATTTTTATGAAAATGAAGTTAGCTGACATTTCAAAATTTTTAGAAATTTTTTTATCGAAAAAATTTCAATTAAACAATTAAAAAAAAAATATCACATGTTAAAAACTTGAAAAACTATAAGTGCAATTTTTTATAAATATTTTTTTAGTTGTAATTTAATTAAAAAAAAAAAAAAATCAAAAATTTTTAGACGTCTGCTAACTTCAGTGTCATAAATTTTTTTTCTAAATTTAACTTCCTCTTAAAGTGATTTTTCGGAAGCATTTAGGGAAATTAAAAGAAAAATACGGGGTGTAGGAGTAGATTTTAAAACGTAAAGCGTAATAGGTTCTGGACTGTACACACGATCCAGCTGGCATTTCGACCGGTGTGACTGAATCTCTATAAATAGCGCGTCCATAAATACAAAACTAACAAACTAACAACAATAATAATTAAATGAGAGAAATAATGCAATGCTGTGACTAAATAATGAACCACTGCATTACAAACAACTACTAATGCAATTAATCAGTCATCAGTCGGCCTATTAATTCATCTAATCTAATTATCTTACGTCAGAGTTATTTGAAGAAGTAACGAGTTCGGAATTAAAATGCCGGTTCAGTGGGATACATTTAGTTATTAATGACGTAATAGTATTTAATGTGATTAAGTATGTGTTTATGTATTTAAATATGCATCTGATCGGATCACAACTCCTTATATTATTACTTTCAAGTTTTGTTGATGAATCAAACCGAAAGATCCTTCGACGATACATGTAAAACAAGTCGCCTCCGCAGATGCTTGACGTTATTCATAGCCCGGTTACTTTTATTTGTACGTACTTTTATTTGTTGTAATACCTTTATATTTATTTTTATTCTCATTCTCAGTCGAAGGCCTTCTATTTAACTTCCGGACCTGAGTCATTTTGAGTAGAAGCCAAAAAATTTCAATTGTCAAATTCATCTATTTTTTTAATTACTATTACTCATCATTTATTTCAAATTACGTTTTTACTTCAATTAGGTTTTGAGGAAGGTTATTATTAAATTATTGTTGTGAAATTAGAATTTTTTTTGGAGAAAAATTATTAGAAGTTTGAACTTTCAAAGCTTGAAATAAGTAAAAATTTTAGGTCCAAAAATTATTTTAATCAACCTTAAGTTTAAAATATTTCTTTAGAAATTTTAATTCTAAAAGAAGAAATAATTTAAGCTCCAAAAATTTCTTTTCAAAATTTTGACTTTTGAAATTGAAAATTAATAAGAGATAATTTTGAACAATTTAAAGTGTATGAAATTTTTTTTTCAAAGATTTTAACTTCAGAAATACGTAAAAATTTGAACTCCAAAAGTTTTTTTATAAAAATTTTAATGAATTTTAAACTTGAACTTTTTGGAAATTATTTTAAAGTATTAGAAAAATTTTTTTCAAAGATTTCAAGTTCAAAAATATGTAAAAATTTGAACTCTAAAAGTTTTTTTTTTTTAATTTTAAACTTGAAATTTTTGGAAATTAATGACAAAAATTATTTTGAAGTATTTGAAGTATTAGAAAAATTTTTTGTAAATTTTATTTTCTAAAATAAGTAAAAATTTGAACTCCAAAATTTCTTATAAAAATTTTAATTCATTTTAGACTTAAAATTTCTGGAAATTAATGACAGAAATTATTTTGAAGTATTAAAAAATTTTTTTATAAATTTTAACTTCCCAAATAAGTAAAAATTTGAACTCCAAAAATTTCTTCTATAAATTTTAATGAATTAAAATTAAAAATTTTTTTTTTTTAATTTAACTTCTAAAATAAGTGAAAAATTTGAGCTCTAAAAGTTTCTTTTAAAAATTTTAAACTTGAAATTTTTGGAAATTAATGACAAAAATTATTTTGAAGTATTTGAAGTATTAGAAAAATTTTTTTGTAAATTTTAATTTCTAAAATAAGTAAAAGTTTGAACTCTAAAAATTTCTTATAAAAATTTTAATTAATTCAAAATTCAAATTTTTTTTTTTTTAATTTAACTTCTAAAATAAGTGAAAAATTTGAGCTCCAAGTTTCAAAAAACTCAAGATTTGACATAAATTTTTCCAAAAAAATCAAAATTTGATCTAAAAATATTTCTACTCAAAAAAACCTAAAATTTCCAAATAACTAACTTAAAAAAAAATAATTACCAACTAAAAAACTAAATACTAAAAATAAGCCGGGAAAAAAAATTACCTTGAAGTAGTCTTGAAGAAATTATTACTCTCCCGATTCATAAGTTCGCTCCTGAATCTAGACATCTCGTCCTCCATTTTTCTCATCTCGGCATCGAATCGTTCGCGGATATTTGAGAATTCGCTATCAATGACGCTAAAGTCGCCGAGTTTAATGGGAATGTTGCGCTTAGTACCACTGTCAGCCATCGTAAATCTGATAGTAATTCAAAAATTACGAGATAAAAGATTATATAAAAATATTAGATCCTCGAAAGCTTCGACGACACTGATGTTTAATTATCACCCACAGTTTACAGTACTAACTGCTGCGTACGAAGAGTCACTTAAATAAAATAAGAAACTACCGAAAGTGAAACAACAGATGCTTGGTCGAACTGAGATCCAAAAGTGAGCGGCGCACGTCACCTACTACTCCTTAAATAGTAACGCGAGATGATACGTGGGTATGTGGGTGTTCGGAGCGGATCGCCGCGACTCGGTTTCATTCGTTGGACATTCATATTACACGGCCTAGGATGGATAAAACTAAACTTGGATTTTTTTTTCTCGATACTATCAAGAGCATTCTTTCGATGGCTTAATACTTAATATTATATTTAATAGCGCAGTAGAAGGATTCATATAAATATACATATATATATTTATTCCGTCCCTGATTCATTTTTCCGAATGATAGAGACCTCGAAATTTCGAAAAAATTATTAATAATGTTTTTTTAATTCAAACTAACGCAAAGTACGTAGGATGGATGGAGTATCCGACGAACTTTTAAGGAATTTAAAAATTTCGAGTTTATACATAACACACTTTTGTATACAAGCAGTCAATGCCGCGTTCTACATACGATTTTGTGATGATGACTAAACCGATGGAATTCAAATAGAAAACTAATTCCATTTTTATAAATGACACATGTGAGATAATACTTATTTATACAATTAAAAAGAATTTTCCTAATTTGATACTTGTAAACAATTTATGCATGACTAATCCCCAGAAGAGTTGTTTTATTTTTGTATTCATGACAATTATATTAGGAAATATCACTATTGAAATTAGTTTTATGATGCAACTTTAAAAAAAATTTTTTTTTTTAATTGTATTAGCTCGGCGGGTTCGGGTTGAAAAACATATTAGGTCTGAAAGTTTATCTATAGTATTTTATAATAAAATAAGGCTCAATAGTTTCGCGACAGCTACTAGGTGGCGAAAAATAAAACGGAGTTTCCACTTATAGAATGGCAAACCGAGTGATTAAGTATCATTGAAAATTTTTGGTAATAATTTTACTATATATCTTACTAACAACCTTGCAGTCACTATGTGACTTGTGAACTATAAATGAATAAAATTTGGCTTTATATTCAATAATGAATTTAGTTAAATTACACTGTACTTTCTTAACTATTGAAGTTTTTAAAAATGTAAGCTCATCTCGATGTTACACTCATCAAGAGCTTTCATTTGAGTACCCACATGCATTTTGATATATTTTTCATATATACATATATATAATATATATAAATATATGAAAACTTGATGTGGGTACTCAAATAAAAGGTCTTGATGAGTGTAATGTCGAGGTAAGCTTATATCTTTAAAAATATCATTAGTTGACAAGATACAATGTCATTTCTTAATTATCGACATTTTTTATGATATAAGCTCATTTCGATGTTACACTTATCAAGAGCTTTCATTTGAGTACCCACATGCATTTTGATATATTTTTCATATATACATATATATAATATATATAAATATATGAAAAATTGATGTGGGTACTCAAATGAAAGGTCTTGATGAGTGTAACATCGGGATGAACTTATATCGTTAAAAATGTCAATAGTTTACAAGATACAAGGTCATTTCTTAATTATGTATCTAGAGATAGAGCATTTTCGAATCCAGCCTAAATACTGATCATCATAAATTGACTATTAGTGAAAATGATATGAAACCTTGAAAAGATTTAACTCCAGGTCGACTTTTCCAACGATACCAAATTTAACCGTAAAAACCCATTTTATCATATAAATACACTGGTCACAAAATTTTCCTTATTCTCTTAATAATGTAGATTAGGTTTTTTTAAACTTTTTCCCTAACAAATAAACTACATTGTAATTACCTATATTAAATTTAGATTGTAGCAATGCGGAATACTTGTCAAGTCTAATGGACAGGATTGTAACAATAATTTAAGTTTTGTTATGATTATTCATAATCAAAAATCTGAGACTTTTTCAAAAAATCTTCAAAGTTTTTACTATAGATTTATTTTCTTGTCATTATTTATTTAATGAAAAATATCCAGAAATTGTTAAATATCTATTCCTTTGAACATTTTTAATTCAACAATATTAATTCTGAAGTTGTTATGACAGAAAATTTCAAATAAATATTTTTTATCTGTACTACTTAGTTATAAATTGAAAAATTTCTGTCCGCACAATTTACACTAATTTCAAAACAATAAGTTTCAATTCACGCTGTTAAATTTATAAAATATGCGCAGGCGCCCTTAACATTTTTTCATAAGAGAAAAATATAATTCAATTATTTTTCCCCTTTCTACATTAAAAGAAAAAAAAATTAATTTTGTGTAATAATAAGAATAAATAACTATTCAAAAATGTTTTATAGATATCATTTATTACAATTAATAAAATAATTTCATATATAATCTGATTATTAAATATAATTTTCTTCAATAATTCGTAAAAAGTTACTCGTTAAACAATAAAAATTTTTAACATTACAATAATTTTATTTAATAAACGCCTCCTTATAATAACACATTATTCTAATAATAATATACTCACTAATAATAAAAATAATTTTTAAATCAATATTAACAAAATAAATGATTAAATCGTTCTTTTATATACACTAAATAATTGTTTAAATTTCATTTAAACACAATAATCAATGATTAAATCTTAAACATTTTAAATCTTCATTAAATTCAAAACTCAAAAAAACAATATCGAATTATTTTTAATAAACATAAATAAATCTTCAAGTCGATTAATAAAAAATAATTTTCAAAAGTAATAAAATTACTTATTTATCATTGCTACTATTAATCGGGACGAGTTGCAAAGTATTGCCGACTTTAATAGCTTTGAAGGTATCACCAGGTGATACAGTAGCTGCTTGAATGCGCGTCAACATAGCGTACCCTGAATTGTTTCCCAAATTTACACTATTGTCAGCAGGTTGAACCTGCTGTTGCATCACAATAGGCTTCGAGTAAGTTTGTTCGGCCAGCGAAAACTTGATGTCGCTTCTTTTGATAGGGATCAACTTATTAGGATCTATTTTCGTCAAATTAATAACTCGAGTAGTTTTCGGCTGGCTGAGTTTGTAACACGTGCTTTTAGTGTTATTATTGTCAACCACAGAGCTCATTGATTTGGGAATTAAAATTTTTGTAGTACCCGCAGAGATAGGATCTTGAAGAGAAGAAATACTTCCGATGGGAATCAGCTTCATTATTTTGTGAACCGGCTTTGTTTTAATGATGGTTGAAGCCGTTGGATTTATTTTATTCAGTTGTCCGGTTCTGATTGCCATTTGAGAAACTTTCAAATTTTTGTACACACTCTCAGCATTTGCACTCTGTACGACTAGACTTTGGTTATTTACTTCAGGCTCTAGTTTAACGATCGGATGCGCTGAGTCAGTCTTAATCAACTTGTCTGGCAATAATGGAGGATTTTTTATGCACGAGTCAGATTTGTAGCGGGTAAGAAGCTTCGTGCAGGCCTTTGGTTTTGGTTCTTCACTGGAATTAAGTTTCTCCAACTCCATCTCAGCTACGCGGAGAATCGAATCGTCCAGTCGTTCTAGGGATCGCGACTTGTTGTCGAGGTTCGGAAGACTGTTTGTTCGGGAAAACGACGCAGTATCTAAAAATTAAATAATTAAACATAAATTTTGATTAAAAAAAAAATTAATAAATAAAAATAATAATCTATATTATTAAGAGAATAAGAAAAATTTTGTGTTCAGGATAGTCATATGATAAAATCGGTTTTTTTTAGTGAAATTTAGTGTCATTGCAAAGGTCTTGATTTGAATTTGTGCCTTTTCAAGGTTTCATATCATTCATATCATTCTCACAGATAGTCAATTTATTATGATAAGTATTTAGGCTGCATTCGAAAATGCGCTATCTCTAGATACATAATTAAAAAATGACCTTGTATCTTGTAAACTATTGACATATTTAGAGATATAAGCTCACCCCGACATTACACTCATCGAGACCTTTCATTTGAGTACCCACATCAATTTTTCATATATTGCATATATTTATATATATATATATTTATTTATTTATATATATGAAAAATATATCAAAATGCATGTGGGTATTCAAATGAAAACTCTTGATGAGTGTTACATCGGGATGAGCTTATATAATAAAAAACGTCAATATTTAAGGAAGTACAGTGCAATTTAACAAAAGTCATTATTTAATAAAGCAAAATGTTATTTATTTATAGCTCACAACCACGGCAGTCACATAGTAACTACAAGGTTGCTAGTTTTTTATAAATTACCTGAATCAAATAATTTCCTTTTGCGCAATTTACGTTTGTCTATCGTAGGAGTACTGTAGCAATTTTTGATGAACGCTTTGCTAGTCCCAAAATTGGCAGATGTTGCGGCGTATGAATGGTAAGAATGTGGAGTTAAGCATTTATCTGGCGTGGACATACCAATTGATGAGCTGTGTATTTTACTAACTGGTGTGTCTGCAAAATATATAATTGTTAATTTAAAAATGTTTATACTTTTTAAAAAGAAAATTAATTTTTTTTTATCAAGAGATTGAAATTTAGACTTTACATTTAACTGTCACGTCAGTCGTTAAAATAGATTCATTTGTTTCAATTAATTGGTATGAAATTAACGTTTTTTGATATACAGTGAATATATCAGAAAGTTTTTATTCCAAATAGAAACAATTGATGAATCTGTATATCCCTAATAGCCAAGCTTTTTTTAAAAGTAGTTAGATTTCAGCAGTTACAGTTAACTTAATATCAAGTTTGCGGTAATTCTTTACAGTACAACAGTAGTAAACAAATTGACGAAAATCTACGTCCACAATTTAAATACCAAACTTTTGGTTAAATTTTCCTTCAACTTTACTACAACTAGACTGTAATACTAGCACTGCAAGTATTGACGTCAAATTGCAAAGTAACTTATAGACAACTTAACTAAAACCGTTTGGTTTGCAAACTCTTTCCATCAAGTTGGCTACAAATTTCGGCAGTAGATTAAATAAAAGATTGAGTTAAGGTGGCTATCACGGATAATTAGCGTAAAAATTATGGACATGTCTATTCATACGTAAAAAAGTCCTGATAAATCCACGCCGCGTGAATATAAGGGCCTTAAATCTACGCTGCGTAAATGTAAAAGCCCTTATATTCACGCTGCGTGTATTTATTATATTAGGATTTTTTTACGTATGAATAGACACTTCTAGAAATTATTATCTAGAAATTATTATATAATACGATTAAAAATCATTACCAGTAATTAAAGATATGCCTTAAGCTGCGATAAGAAATACATATAAATACATAAGTAATTTTAATTCATGCTCAATAACTTTATATATTTATCAATTAAGAGAATTACAGACACATTTGATTTACTTTATCAGCAAAAATATTTTTGGCAAATACCAAGTCATACTTTCACAGTAAATTTTATTTTTAATAAAATTTACTGCTGATTAATTAAATGTGTCAATAATTCTTAAAACTCAGTAAAAAAAAAAATAATTACCAGTATCAAAAGACTCTGTAGACTCAACATCAGGCCCAAAATATTTAAAAATAGGTTTCTTCAGCGCTCTATCAAACAAATATATTTTCTTAATCAATCCAATAGCCGTCAGTACATTAGCAATGTCATACAATCGACGAACTTTGGTTTTGAACCTCGATCTGGACCCAGTGTCTCCCATCATTTCAGTCTGGTTATCCGCGTTATCAAGAATCAACACCTTAGCAGCTATTTCTAAATTAATGACTCCATTCTAAAACACAATAATCCATCAAGTACTCCAAAATCACAAACAAAAATTTTAGCTATTGTCAAAAATAAAATACCTTCATAGAGACCAAGAATAACATGACAAACTTCTGGCACATCGCTCCAAGACTCTTATCCTCCTTGATAGCCGTATCACTGTAATAAGTTTCTTCATCGACAGGTTCTTCGAGCGACATCATCAGCTCATTGCACGAGTCATCGTTATCGTTGGTGTAAGCCCGGAAATTTTTCTGGATCTCCTGGATCTGCTCTCTCAGACCGAGTCTTATTGCTGTGGATTTCAGTCTGACCAGCGTGGCAGTCAGGTTACTCTGTCCGTGCCACAAGTACCGATTTTTCCCGGCCTTGGAGGCCATGTCCAGGCTCTCCAGGACATTGATGATGTCGTAAATACGCCGCTTTTCTGTGCCAAGGTCTTTGGCAGTTTTATCGAGAGAAATTTCTCGAGTTTCTTGGTCTAGATTTAGCGGGTACATGTTCAAAAATCTGAAAGATTATTTTTATTAATTTTTAATAAAAAATTAAAAATAATAATGAAATTTAAGTTAGCCGACATCTAAAAATTTTTCTAATTTTTTTTTTATTGAAAACATTATTACAAAAAAATACATAAAAATTTTTATTTGTAAAAAATTTGAAAAACTTTAAGTGCAATTTTAAAAAAATATTTTTTTGTTCCAATTTAATAAATGAAAAAAAAAAATAAAAAAATTAGAAACGTCGGCTAACTTTAATAATATAATTAGCAGACACTTGACAATTTTTTGGTTTTTCTTTGAAAATAAACTATAGAAATAAACGTATAGAAAAAATTTTTTAGAAAATCGCATCTGTAATTTTTTAGAGCTTCTAAATGTTGAATTTTTTTAAATAAATTTTTCTGGTTATAACTTCTTTGTTTAAAAAATTTTAAAAAATATCAAATGTCTCTTAATTTATGAAAATAAAATTAGCAGGCAGCTGACAATTTTCAGAATTATTTTTATTATTAAAATTATTACAAAAAAATTAAAAGAAAAAATTCCACATGTAAAAAAATTGAAAAACTATACGTGCAATTTTTTAAAAATATTTTTTTATTGCTAATTCAATTAATAAAAAAAAAATAAAAATTTTTCGCTGCTGGCTAATTTTAGTTTCATCTTAATTTTAGTATAATTGAAAATTTTATTTTATAAAAAATTACTTACTTATTACACAGTAATCCCAGTGACTTTTGTTTCCTGGGTAATATCTTGAATCCATTTCCAATAGACCCGGATGCAATTGGAGAGGATTCAGTAATATAATTATTGTTATGATTAATAATATTAATATTACTATTATTGATATTAATAATATTATTATTGCTATTATTCTGGACTTTATTAAGACAATAATTATTGTCAGCTACGCTCTTCAAATTAGATGCCAATGATGTTAATAATCTCAAATTAGCTGTTGGAGAAATAGGTTCCGGCTTGGTATTGCTCAGTTCCCCGAGGATTTTCCTCTCCGGTGTCCGATTACCGATCTCCATTTTTTCAGTCACCAATTAGTTCAAGGAGTAATTTTACACATTATTCTGTAAATATTTATTAAAAATAAGATTCATTTATAAATAAAATATTCAGCACTTAACCAAACATTGTCTTGACGTTTTTTATTTCGTTTTTGTTTTCAAGGTCCCAGAAATTTTTCGAAATATAATTAACCAGCACATTTAGATCACAGATAATTACTCTGTTATTGTTTTTGTTATTTATAAAACATAGATGATAAAACTTTATTGTTTGTTAATAATTATTGCATTAAAAATATGGTTATATATTTATTCCCGCCGATTTACAACGGCTGCTAACTCATCAAATTTTTTTTACTACAGTTCAGTTTTGTGTATAGTAAAAGTTATTTAAGTATAGTATGCTTGGTACGCTCAGCATAAAAAATATAAATAAGTCTTTTATTATTTTTTTAAACTATTTCAATGGAATTTATCGAAATAAAACATAAATTTTAACTAATATTAAAATTTAAGAAGTTAAATATTAATTTTTGAGATAATAATAAAGTTTGTTTGAAATTTATTTCTGAGAGAGAGCACAGTTGATATTACAGTTTGCAGTCAATTTAAGCAAAAATATAAATAAAATTATTAATAATTTAACACCGATTTAAGTTAAAAAAAAAAATATTTTTTAGAAACCCAATTATTTTACACTTTATTTAATTAAACTATAATATATAGATAGATCTCTTTAATTAAGTAATCAAAAATTTACAAATTTAAAATAATTATATTGCTCATATGTTATAGATTTATTTATAAAGAAGAAATAAAATTATTTTATGAAAAGTTCATCAGTTTTTAAATAAAAAAAAAAAATGAAAGTTTCTCTTAAAAATTCTTGTACTAAAAAATTTAAGTAACTAACAATAGAAAAGTTCTAAATATTTAACTGAAAATAATTTTAATCATAATCATTAAACTCAAAAATATATCGATTGCTTTTAATTTTTTAATATTATAATACTCAAATTGCGAAAAATTAAAAATTTTTGTTTTTTTTTTCTTTGAACTGATAAACTATTATAACTATTATAAAAATAACTATAAAAACTAATAATATCTAATAATTTTATTAACCAGTCTAATTATCCGTAACTCCTATTCTTTCCCGCTTCACAGCATTATTTATATTTGTTACATTTTTTAACAAATATAAATAATGCAACATTTACGTAACAGGATATTTTGGTAGGAAAGGATTGAGAAAGGATTGTGGAGGAGGAACTTCTTAATGTGAGTGTATAGAATATGCGAGAAAAAATTATTAGATAGCTCGGACTGGGATTCGAACCCAGAACCTTCCGAAGACATGTCGGCTACTCTAATCAGCCGACTTATCTCTATAACTATTATAAAAATAACTATAAAAAATCTTCCAGTCTCTGACATAACTGTACTATAAATTATAAATACAAATTAAAAATAAATAAATATAAAAAAAAAAAAATGGTTTACCTCCTTTTCGGAAAAACGAAACTTTCCGAATAATCACTTGATTACTTTATATCAAAAGATTAAGTCTACATGACCATCTATAAAAAATTTTTGTATCCTCTTTCTTGGAATTCGATAAAACAGATCTTGATAGGACAATGTCTATAAAAGACGTGCGTACGCTAATACAATATTTTTTTATTCAATAAAAATAATTCCTCGGTGTAATTTGCTCATGTCAAAATATACTTCAATTTTATTAATTACAATCAATACTATTTAAGTATTGCTTGCTCCAATTACAAAATACAGAATTTAATATAATATTTACAAAACTTGTAGAGTGAAATATAAGTATGTGAATAATATAAAAATTATTTGAAGAGTACAAAAAAAATGTCAATTTCTACTTTCTACTTTCAATATTATTTAAAAATCAAGTACAGTGCGCGTCATTGATTCGTACCGGTTGAAAAATTTTAAGGTAAAATAGATAAATCAAAATTTCGACATCTGTAAATAAAGAAATCAATAAAAGGAAAATCTTTATAAGGATCAATTTGAACAAAATTGAAAAAATAATTTACTAAAAATAAATAACTCAAAATATCAATCACGATTAAAATAGAAATTAAAAATCTTAGTAATTAAAATAATCACACACTTTATAAAATAAATAAAAGTAAAATTTTAATATTAAAAAAATAAGACAACGATATTATTCGATAATTTTAAAATTTATCAATTATAAATATAGGCATTGGATAAAATATAATAGACTAAATTCAGAGAAGTCAGTAAAAAGACATTTGAATATTTATAATTATAATTATAAAAATATTGATAGTTATTAATATATAAATTCTTAAAAAATAGACATCTCTAAATATAGACTAGAAAAAATAGAAAACTGTGATTTTAGACATCTGTA